AAAAAAAAAAAAAAAGCTGGCTCCCCCTCCCTCCCCAGTAGTTCGTGGGTTCTGTTGATCCCATACTGTTCATCCTGTGTGAGGCGGTCACCTCAGGAGGGGCTCGGAGAGGGCTGGTGGGTCGTCTACGTGGGAATGGAGGGCAGGGTGGAAGCCAGCAGAGAGAAGAGGCTGGTCAACAAGCCCGATCCCTCTCAATTCAGCCAATCACCAGAGCCGGTGCTGGTGGAGGTTTCGACTGAGGACGGAGCGGACATCAGCAGTGAACCTATGACAAACAGGAGGACATTTCAGTGTAGTTGCTGCCATCGTAGCAGGGAAACCAATGAATGTTTAACACTGTGAGGACAAAAAAGCTCATTTATTTATTTGAGTAAGATCAAAAGATCAGCCATGTTCACGCTGGCAAGTATTCAGAGTATTCCCACTGCTTCAATGCAACACATTAGCTCTCCTTTTCAAGAATTCAGTTATTTATTTACATTTCAGTTATTTACTTGTAAATCTTAAATTCTCCTGTTCCCTTGATGTGACCAGAGAGAAGAATGCCACACAAATTCACAATTTTTCTGTCTCCTTACATCCAGTCCTATACTTCTGTCAGCGTGTATGCCAAGTCAGGGAACGTGACGGCAAAGGTGACTGCTTTTATTCTGTGAAAGTATTCTTTGTGCAGCGGTAAAACAGGAGCAAAACCTCTGAAACTACAGCCAGTGACTTTTTGGTTCAGTCAATGATGCCAGCCAAAAGGAAACTGATGAGCCTGCTGCTGGTGTGTTTTGAGGAAGAGATGCTACCAATATTACACGCTGTGCAGAGGTAATGCCAGTGCACTAGAGAGGTAAACATGCAGAAGCTTACACAGCTCATGGTCATATACCCAACAAATACAAGCTAACTGCAAACCAGTCTTTCCTTTTCTCAGTAGATTACTTTTTCATATCAGTAATTATGTAATGTAACAAGTTACTTTTAACAGTAGCTTAATCCAACAATGGATAAATCAACCTGGTGTTAAAAATAACGCCTGACATACACATCTGAAAATCAAAGATAAACACTCAGCATCTCCTTTGTTTACCTCATACATTACACACTGTGCAGGTTTGCTGTTAATTCAATTCAATTTTACTTATATAGCGCCAAATCACAACAACAGTCGCCTCAAGGCACTTTATATGTTAGCCTTAGCTTTTTGTAGGGAACTTCATCCAGATGCTTGTCACTCTTCTGAATGAATTCACATGAGAGTTCTTGTCTCACACTGTGAATAAAAACAGCTCTTTAAAGCGACTGAACTAAGAGGAACTGCAGACAAAATGCGTGAAACATTTTTTTGTTGCTGAAACATGACGGGCGACTTATAAAGAGAAACCAAGTAAAACCACCAAAATAAAGAGATGATACTTTGAGTCCTTGTGGTCATATGAGGATTTAGTCTGGTGTTAACACACTGACAGCTTGTGAGCTTTTTGCTTTACATGTCTTAAACAACTCGTTTAGAATGAGGAAGTATGCAAATAACCTTACAACAAAGTAAGCCATGCAAGCCAGTGTCTGCGTTATCCCTTTGCTTTCATGCAAGTTTTATTATGCATTTTACCTTAGTGCATCCAGCATAGGCAGCAAGTTAAGAAGTGCTGTGTCACTAGGGTCGCTGAACCAGGACTTGATGGGTATTGCATTGTCTGGAAGGCAGAAAACAGCCAGTCAGTTGTGTCAGAAAAATGGACATGGTAGTGATTTTGTGCTGCTCTTCTAAAGAAGCCACAGAGTGTTCAAGGAGCTTCGCACTTAATGTACTGCAACAACAGCATTTTACAACACAGGCCCTGAAGTGAAAACAGCGTCGATTATGTCCTTGTCACAAAGTTCAATTCTACCAAGACAAAGATTTGATTTAATTGATCTGTTAAACATGACCGAAAACAAGCAGCCAAATATATAACTCAACTCGTTAGCAGGTATCATACCATTTCTCATTTATGTGTGTGTACTTACAGTGAGGGGAAAAAAAATCAAGTAATCCAGTGACCTTATGTATAATTAATACGTGTGAACCAAAAGCTTCAAACTACTCAAATGCTCCACTTCTGACAGTCAGTGAGAGGAACTATAACTAATATGGTTGTGTTAGGTCCACAGCTCTAGCTGTGAGCACAACAGCCACAATCTTCTGCTGTTCACATGCAAAGGTGCTCTATGTGACCAAAATAACGTAGCTTCAAAGCATCCAAATAGAAAAACTTACACCTATACTCTAAACCATTTCTTTCTTTTTTGAGCTTGACAGGTCTAAGACATACAAAACAAAGGCAGAAATTGGTGTTCTGCTCCATGTCTTTATATCATCAGTACAAACTAACTTAACTATCTATCTCAGTAGCATTAATAAAGCTTTGATCCAGGAATCAGCAGGACCCTTTGTTATACTTCTGTTTGACACTTTCTGCTCTGAAAACATGCATTAGATTTGTTCCCATCAGTCACAACTGGAAGGTGGGGATGCTATTCACCTATTACACTGTAAATACATTAAACAACTTCTAATTAAACTTTATATGGACGCAACTACTGTGATGTCACTCGTGGTTTGTGAGATCTTGTTTTGAAGCCCATTTACACTTTGAAATCTTACCTGGATGGCTTCGATAAGCACCAGGCGAGTTGTCCAGGATAACAATACTAGAAAGGTCATCGTGTACTACAGACAAGTCTTTAATATAACTACCTAGATCCAATGTACAGTGCTGGGAAAAGAAAGAAAAAAATTTAAATATAATCATCTACACCAACAAAAGTCAGAGTGAAAGCAGAAACTCGATCAATATTAGGTTTAACACGGGCTGTCAGAAGACAGCGTAGAGCAGTACCTGTCTGTAGTATCTTCGTTTCAGAATGTTCCTGTTGTTATCCAGTTTGTCTGCCACTGCCGAGCCGTAGATCTCCATACTGGCTGTGAAAACCACTAGCTCATACCACTGGCTCACCTATATACACAAGAACATAACAGTCTATGTTCACAAATTACCATCAGTGTTCAGCAAGTCACAAAGGGTCAATACAAAAAATAAATACACTTTTATGAGTGTGAGAGTGCAGTACAATGGAGATTAATGACAAGGATGACAGGCAGGATTTAAAGGAGTGACGATGTTTGTGATTTACTGCTTGTTACCATCGCCACACACACATACACACTCGCACTTGCACACAGTTGTTTGAATAACACTCACCACTTCTAAAAAGAAGTCAACATGTGGCCTTTTATGTACGAAGAACCTGACTGGGTGCTTATCAATGACGACCTGTAAGGAAAGGGGAAACGGGTGGAACCAGCTCATTTAGGCAGAAATGGTATTTAAACTGGGAGTAACTCATGCTCATATATGGTTGGCCGCCCGTACTTTGAGGATGAAGTCCGGCGGTGTGCCAGGTCTCACTGTGGGCCTCAGGACGCCGTCATGATGAGAGTGGATCAGGGTCTCATCTAGGTCCAGAACCAGAATCTTCCTCTTTACTGCATCTGCATTCATTTAATAACATCATGCTTCATTTAGCACATCTACACAAACAAAATTATTAAAAGAAATTAGGCTACGTGAAAAATCATGCACTTCGGTTAACTTTTGTACAACATGTCGGTGTCAACAAGCAGGTTTCTCTTTTACTTCTAACATGTCAAAGAGGGCTGCCACGATTAGCCGACTATCAAAATTGTCGACGACTAATTTAATAGTCGACGCGTCGTTTGAAGCTTTGTAAGATCCCAAAAGACGCAGGAATAAGTAGTAGGATTTAAGAGTGTAATAAC